TTATTTCCTCCCTTTTAAATCCAATGAAAGGCAAATTTACTAAGTCCAAAAAAAATTATACAGAAACTCGATATGGTCAAAATAAAAAGGAATCCTGTAATTAACATCAAATCATTCTGATTCGTAAAAAGTTTTGCTTTGCTTTAGATATGTACCAGGGTAGCCAACTCATTTTTGAGAATTCCACAATCTCTACAATGAAATTCCCCCATTTTGCCCGGAATTTCGAAAAATTCACCACCCGTAGATATTTCCTTATTAAATAATAACAATTATTTGTATTTTGATATATTGCTAGTATTTCTGTTTATTTTATTAAGTTAGTTAACAAATAAGAATAAAAAAGTACACATAATATTAACATACATACAGCGGTCGAAAAAAATTGGTCGCACCACATTTTGACAAGTTTTCACAATTTTTATTTCATTTTTTATTATTTAATTTGAGTTATTTTTATAAAAATATAGTTCATTCTTTAACAAAATCCGTTTAAATCCAACTTTCAAACTTTGTGCAATATTAAAAAAAAAGCAACAAACCTTCGTTTCTAAAAAAATTTTGAGTTTTCAGTTTTGTAGTCCACTCAATTCTAGTCTAAAAAGTGTAAGCTCAAGTACCTAAACATTTTTGTTTTGGAATTTTTTTGCCGTAGGTGTTGCGGTTTTTTTTTTATATAAAATAAATTGTGTTTATTCGTTATTCGAAAGTAAATGCTACAGGGAATATTCTAAAGAATTAGCTGTAATTTTCAGCCATTTTAAACTTTATTATACTAGAATTAAATGAGGTACAACACTAGATACGGCTCATTCCACGATGACGGGTGGGATATTTCTACTGACATTTTTTTTAAATAATTAGGAAATTAGTGAAGCAAAAAAGAAACCTAATTCCTCACAAAAACATTTCATCCCCCGCTTCCCTATGTAAACTGAAATTCCCCACAAAAAACGGCCCATTCCTGATTCCCCACGCAAACTAAAATCCCCCGAAAATCGGGGAATTCCCCACGAGCTGGCTTCCCTGGTTATTATACACTTTTCCAGAAAAAATTGCAGGTTCCATTACAAATTAGTACTGACTTTTTATTACTATACACACCTATTTTTGGTAGCTCACTCTTCTTGTCTTTTTAAGCGGAAACACAAATGCCTACATACTTTCAACCTCTCTATGAGTGAGAGTTCATTTCCGTTTCCCGTGCGCTCTTCATCCGCTCTTGAAATGCTTTTTGGCTGCGCAATCGGTTAGCGCAAAATCAATTTCCAAATTTGCAAATTGAGAGTTTTCGAGTGTGTTATCTTGATTCAAACTCTTTTCAAAGTGAGGACCTGGAAAAATTAATATTTCCAGGGTGAGAGTGTAGGTTAATTTTCAATATTCAGTAGACTTTTGCAGCGGATATATTTAAGTTCGTGTGGTGCGCGAGTTCAATCCGATAAGCATGAAAATATTGGCTAAAGTGTTAAAATAATTTATTCAATTTGTATTCAAATGTGCAATAGCATTAAAAGTGCAAGTAGTAATAAAAAATATAAATAGTGCGATTTTATTTCATTGCTGCTAAGAAATTATGTGAAAAAGTGAAATTCGTGTGTTCGCCATGAAGAAATGCGAAGCCATCTTGTGGTCGTGTCGCGTGGGTTCGGTAACGTGCAATTCTGTATACATATGTACACGTGTATGTAAATGTTTGCGCATACATAAGTGCATACGTTTATATGTACATATTTATTTAGTCATATTCATACATATCCACACTACCCAACGCAAAAGCCAGCACATAATATTGATAATTTGATTATCGGTTTTCATTGGGGACTTTCATATAATTCTAATACCTTGTCATTCGGCTAGTGGAATAATATGAGTAAGTTGTTAAATACCAGAAACCAAGCATTTAATAAAAAAAAATGCAGGTACGAGTGAATTTGGTAAGTAAGAACATACTTTTACATTACGCACATATAAACAAATTTATAAATGTAACTGTGAAAGCACACACTTGTACATATATGTATCAGCACAGACATACATATTTGCGCGAATAAAGAAATAAATAAAATTAAATTCAATTAAAATAAAATAAAACAAATAAAAAAGTATAAGTTCGGGCGAAACCGAACTTAATATACTCGACACAGGTCTCAAGTATCGTCGTTTTAACTTCGTTTCAAACATTTCCGATTATACGCTGAGTTAGACCTAATGATTAGTTGAACCATGTTTAGCAGAAATCGATAAAGTGGTTACCGAGATACACATTTGTGGTCATAAGTGGGCGGCGCCACGCCCATTATCCAAAAATTTATAACTATAGAGTTTTGTGCTAAGTGGTTATTGCAATCATCGATTTTAAGTGAATTAGCTTCTTTAGTTGCTGATTTATCGCAGTTTTCGTGTTTCTGTAAATTACCATTATATGGGAGGTGGGCGTGGCTATTGCCCGATTTCAAAGATTTTCAACAAATTTCTTAGCTGGATTCTAAGCTAGGTTCGTACCGAGTATACAGCATTTCATGATAAGTGGGCGGGGTCACGCCCATTTTCCAAAAATTTCATAATAGTATTATTTTTTTTCAAATTTTACTCCACATACTAATTTGCAACAATTTGCATCCAATATTTACTGTTTCGAAAACACCGTTATATGGGAAGTGGGCGTGGTTATAGTCCGATTTCAATACCAACCTACCTTAGATATAGGGCAACCTACATACCACATTTCGTTGAGATATCTCAATTTTTGCTCTAGTTATCGTGTACACGGACGGACAGACAGACAACCGTTATGTGAACAAAGTTAATACATATAACCTGTGCACAAGTGCGCTCGGGTATAAAAATAAATAATAAATATAAAGTTAAATAAAATTAAAAAGTTAAGTTATATTCAAATAACTGTTAAACAAGCATGTCCTTTTTAAGCAAGAACCACAACCGAATTCAATGCTGATATAAAAAATGTGCATAAGTTTTACTCTTTTCATGATCCAATGATTGGAACTAGGGTGTTCGATTATTCGCCTGTTTTTGAGTTATTCTAAAAGTTGCAATTTGAAAAAAAATCGGTTTCGATCGATTGTTAAATTAAGAAAATAGCGGATAAGCCGGTTTTATTTTACAAAGTTTTCTTGCGGTGAAAATGCTTATGTTTTGTTTGAAGTCATGACTAACAATTACAATAAAACTATTAACAGTAAAGATAACTTCTATTTAAAAAAAGAGCAAAGCAAAAAAAGTTAAGTTATTGCATTTTTTTCTGAGCTTGTTTTAAATAATATGAATTGTTTTCTAGTTGTTTTTAGAGTGTTTTGAATTATTGCAGCTTGTTTCAATTTTCTTTTACAACCCCGAATGTGAAATGTTACGTAACGTGGCGTGGGATTCTTTGCAAATAATCCCGGGATTTTCGGGACCTAAAAAGGCAATTCTGAAATAATTTCACCGGTATTCCAGTTTTGAGAATGAAGAATAATTTGACTTTCCTCCAGCTTTTTGAAATGTATCGAGGGCTTACATATTAAATACGTCCTATCTGCAGTTTTCACAAAAACTACTTTTTGATGTTAGAACCCTTCTGAGATTTAACTGTTATCACTTACTGGAATTTTTACTTTGAAATTCATTAGTTAATTCTACTAAAGTACGATATACAAGGTCAGCATTAACATTTTTGATGACAGTTAAGTCTAAGATGGATTTTTATATAGGAATCTCACTTTTGTGAAAACTGCAGGTAGGTCATATTGAATATAAGCACTCGATATCTAAGTTTGTAAAAGAAAGAAGCTCAATGAATCTATAAAATCATCGGTAGAATGGTTCAACAAAGCCTGAATCAGTTTGACTTATATTCCTCAAAGCTGGAAGAAACTGCCTGAAATTCTCCCTATCAAAATTATTGCAAAGATTATTAGAAATCCATAATATTAATGACTAAAAAAATATGGAATAATTAAAAAAAAAATAAAGAACATCTGCAAATCAAAAAATAAGTCCTTTCTAGGCGGTCAATAAAGTTTTTCAACAGGTAAACAACCGTGATTGCGGAACATCGGCCTCTTCGCGAACAGGCAGCCAAAATACTCCCCGATGCCGCAGCTGCAAGCTCGCTTATTATAGGGCGCAAAACTCATAAACATCGGAGCACAATAACTCAGATTTAAAAGAAGTTAATTGGTTGAGTGAAAAAGTGGTTTCAAGGGAAAAATATTTACTTTCAAATGAGCTTTCTTTTTCTAAAAAAAGGAATTGTTCGTGATGAAACTACACAGTGACATAGCAAAAAATCATGTGTGTAGTCCCAGGATCTGACTTTTTTCAAATTTTTTGGCCCAGTGTTATTATTGCTGGTGATAAAGCACTGAGACCCCAAGATCTATTGTAGCCCCTTCATGCCAACGTTAGTATTAAGCCTAAATCTTTGCATTTCACTACGCTTTCGGTTACTAAATTTTCAACCAAGGTTTTTTTGCGTTTGTGGATTCCTTTCTTTGATATCCATCCTGAAAGATCTGCATCGCTTCTGTGAGTAAATAACCAGTTAAGTCCTGTCAGAATCCTGTAATAATTCTTAGATAAACTCGTACATTGCTTAAAGCTTTTTAGTTTATATATTCCCAAAAGTGCTTTAAAATGCTATACACCTGCTAAATTGTCCCAGTAGTGATTTCTCTGAGCCTTTTCCAAAGAGTGCCCCTTTTCCTTTGCCAGGGCCGTTGAAAGGAGTTGATGCTCCTTTCATCGTAAGTTTATTACTAATATCGTTTCCTACAATACCAATTTTTTCCACAGAACCCAAACTCGTTTGGTCAGACCAAGCTTATCAACTACTACTTTATACATTGACATAGTGACTCTCTAAGCGTTATATGGAGAATGGCTTATGATCTCTCCGCAATGGTTAGCGCCCCACTCTACTAAGACACTACATTACAAAAATCACAAATTTAATCGTTAAACATTTTTTTTTATTTTAAACCAAACAACAACAAATCCCACTCCGTTAACAAGTGCTGACTTAAGCCACTGGGGCGACGGGCAAATGAGCACCCTGGGGTTGGAAACCGTTCTCATCAGCGATGTAGTTGACAGTGTAGGTCACGCCATCATCACCGACAAAGGAGAAGGAGCCACGGGCAACAATGTGTTCGTCCTCAGCACCAATGTTCACCAATTGACCATCTTCTTGTTTGGATGTGCCATCGCTGGTCTTCAGGCTAAAATTAGCAGAAAAAAAATGTTTTTTTTTTTAATAAAATAATTTGGAAGGAAGCATGCCTCATTTCTGTTCTCGCTCTTACTTATATATTTCTTTTTTCACTACTATCAGTTCACTTTTTTTTTTTACTTACGCAAAGCTGTATTTCTCGGGTTCAACATCAGATCTCAATTCAACGATTTCTGCTTCAGGAGCAGCTGGTGCGGCATAAGCCAAAGCGAAGAGAGCAACGAAAACAATGACGAATTTCATGTTGAAAATTTTGTTGTTTGGAGTTTGCCGGTTGTGCAGATTGCGAGATCAGACTACTAACTGTTGAGGATTAAATATAGGCAGCATGCTTTTATATGAAAGTTGTGTCAAATTTAGAGAGAAAAAAAAAACATAAAGGGCACACATCTACGTATGTACATACATATGTATATACATTATGTGTGTATGTTTTGTTTCACTTATTCTTAAAGACACAGATAATCGATTTTAGCTATTTTCGTATTTTTGGTCATTTGAATTCGGTCTTATATTAAACAAGTTTTGCTGCTATTAAAAAAAATTTGCATCAGCAATTTTATGCAAATATTTTTGTCTAAAATTAGCAAAGCCTACCCATTTGTTAGTGACGTATAACACGCAAATAAAAGAGCAAGAAAAAAAGCAGTCGCACCATCATTAAAAGTTTTTGAAGATCCAAAAATTAGAAGAGAGAAAACTTAAAAAAAGAAAGAAAATAAATTAGTATTGTAGCAATTCGATTATGAAAAGATGTCGCGTATCATTTTCACAAACTGGATCGACTATTTTATTCCCTAATTCTTATTGAATGAAAGAAGCGGTCGTAAGGATACTTATGGAAATGCAAATACTTTATCAAATTCGTCATAATACATCGGTTTTAATACAAGACAGATCTTATTTTAATACTACTCCATACACGCGCAAAGACCTGTAGAGTCCAATATTAGATTGCAGGCTCTAAACTTTCCCATGCAGGCGAGGATTTCACCCTCCTGTGGTTGCATGGGCAAAGGTAGGAGTGTGCTGGCCACCCCAACGTTCCCTCAAACCGTGACGATAGCACACGAAAGATTATTGCCGCTGCATCCGTGAGTGCGGATATGGCACGAATTTGTGCGGATAAGGCCAATTTCGTGTCCTTTAAACAAAGGCAGAGGTGTATCAAAGTGGTCTCGCCAAAGTTGTCTTTTACCGCCACGGCCCTCCTTCCAACCGGGGTATCAGGCAGTGCAGAAGTGAGTGAAGTTAGGAATACTACTGTTCTGATGATAACCCAAGTAGGTATGTAGTATTATAAGTCGGCTAGTTACCTTACGGATAAATAGACGGCACATAAGAGTAATACGGGAGAGCTACGTGTTTGCACAGCGCGTATGTAGACTGGATGGCTTGCATGGAGTCAACGTCTTAGGAAAACATAACGATGTTGTTTTAGTTTGTAATGAGACATCTAATCATTTGGCTAGAGAAATCTCAGACCAGTTATTCATTAGTTTGCAGCCAGTTATAGCCAACAGAAACTGATGTGTAGGCTTTAAGTGGTTGTAGGTGGGCACAACTCATTTTGTCCTCAATCTCCAAAGGTCGTATTACGTATTTACTTTCACTGATGAGATGGGACTGCAGACAACTTATGAGACTGCGAACCCGACTTGGTTTTCCTACCTTGGTAAGAGGAGGTGGCTGAATACGTTTTGTGATTCTGCCCCGCCTTTGCAAGGATGAAGTATAAGACTTTTGACAGTGATTTGTTGTAAAACGAACACCTCAGCCATTTAACGCTAAATAATCTGCCCCGTTTTATTGATAGTTCGTGTAGATGTCAAAGAGATTAAAGTGCAATACGAAAACAGTACAATAAAGGACGGCATGATTTGGGTTAGTTTCGAGATAAAAAGGTATCTTTTTTTAAAGCACTCTCAAAATATAAAGACAACAGGTTCGGCCAAACTACCATTCTAACTAACTACCCCGATACTTTTAGAGCCCCATACTATACACCATCGCCTCTCGAGCTCGAGAAACAAGTTCTCCACTCGTACCCCTTAGAGGAGGAACTGGGAGTCTCTGCAGTCGTCTACCCGGATGGCTCTAAACTAAATCTAAGAGTAGGGAGTGGGATATACTAGTAGGATGTCTTATTAGCTTCCTGCTCAAAACGGAGCTCAAGCCCTCTTTAGAGGATGCATTTTGGCTTATCGAATATTCTCTTAATCTGCCTCCCGTAAACCTTCACTCCGATGGCCACTGGAACACTCAGAAACATCGTGAAAAACTTCGATAGAATAGAGGAAAGTCCTTAATGAGTTAGCTTCAAGCCCCTGAGACATACAGTTCCCTGAGACATACACGGTAATTGTACAGCAGATGAGCTTGCGAAGTAGGAAACCACCCTTCTGACGTCATGGCTTTAAACACACTTGCTCGAGATTGTAGGAAAAGCCCACGTGTCGAAGGACTAGACATATCTGGCCGAGCTTCGACAAGAAGAGATCCAACGCCCTAATTTGGTTAGAGCGCCCTCTACTTAGGCAAGTGACCGCAATTACAACAGCTCACTGCTTGATGGGAGGGCATGCAGACAGAATGCGCTTGCCGGCTAGTAATTTCTGTTGAAGCCGCCGGAACGAAGAAAGAAATTAAGAGTGTTGAACACTATCTCTGTCACTGCCCTACACTATCGGAGACAAGAAGGCGGTACACTGGACCTAAGTGTGCATCGCTCCTATATTGGATGCAGACAGCCCCTTCAACCTAACCTAATCTAAAAGCATTTCAAAGTTTTAGCTTTTAAAGGTTACAATAGTAGGAGTATCATGTATTATGAGACGAATTTCTCTCATTCTTTGCCATATTTGGTTTGAACATAGCACGGTTTCGCCGTTTTGTCGTTGTAAATGTAATTTTTCATTCGAAGATTGTGTAGGAACTTTAAAGTAGATTCTTCTAAAGCCAAAGGGCACAGGTGGTCAAGTCATAGCGTACGCTGATGATGTAGTAATCGTTATAATGGATAAACATCTGCACATCCGGAGTATGATATTTCAAAATGCACCCTGCCTTGTAAGCTGCTCTTCCAAGGAATGTCGTCTTGGCGTCGATCCTAGCAAGAGCGGGAAGGTATTTACTGTTCACGAGAACGTATAAAATTACCCTATTCAAATCTCCCACCTTAAATGGGACGGAACTTAAAACTCAGATAGTCAAGACTTAATTTACGTAACTTAACTTAATTTAATATTTTGGCCAACCTGCTGTATAAGATTGTCTTAACGGTTAGTTAAAACATAAAAACTAGCGAAATATTTTCGATTTTCTTAACATAATTTTATTACTGTATTTTTTAATTTCTAGTTTTTTTTCATCATTTCACACTTAAAGCTAATAACAGTTCCACAAATTCACACTCAATTAAAAAGTATTGACTTAAGCCACTGGTGCGACGGGCAAATGATCGCCCTGAGGTTGGAAGCCATTCTCATCGGCGATGTAGTTGACAGTGTAGGTCTGACCGTCAGCGGCTACGAAGGAGAAGGAACCGCGAGCAACAATGTGTTCGTCCTCAGCGCCAACATTCACCAATTTACCCTCTTCTTGCTTGGATGTGCCATCACTGGTCTTCAGACTATTGAAGGAATAAAGAATCAAAGAAAATTTTATGAAGAACTAAATTTGTTGAAAATTCTTGAATTGTTTAATTTCTTTTTTGCTCTGTTATGATCCTATTTTTTCATGGACGACTTACGAGAAGCTGTATTGTTCAGGTTCTACATCGGATCTCTGTTCTACGACCTCCACTTCAGGACCAGCTGGCGCAGCAATGGCCAGTGCGAAGAGCGCGACGAAGACAATAACGAATTTCATTTTATAAATTTTTTGTGATTTATTTGCTGTGTGTGCAGACCGCGAAATCAGACTACTAACTGTTGTAGTTGACAAAACGACCACTTGCTTTTATGCAAAAATGTTACTATTTAATAGCTGTGGCCATCTGCAGTGCTAAAGAGACAAAAGCAATTGGTTAGTTCTTAAGTTTGATGACGCACATTCTTTGACGTCGATTAATTAGCAAACTAGTTTCGCTTGCATTGTATTTTTCATATTAAAGGATTTTTGTTTTTTTTTTACTCTTATTTGGTCAAATTCAAATGACAAGGTGAATAGGTGATAGTATTTAGTTGATGATTTTGTTTAACGACGACTATAGACAATTTTTAAAATTTTTGAAAATGTGAATGTTATTTTTTATTTTCTTTTTTTACTGAGTATTGAAATTTTCCTAATTTGGTTCCAAGTTAATTTAAATGATTTGGAAAAAAACTCGTGAACATTTTAAACCACTATTTGCAACCCATGTGGGTCGTTTTAATCCTTGGTTGGGCAAACGTAGTAGTAACTGAAGCTTTATTGATTTTAAATTTTACAGAATTTTCTCTCTAATTTGGTACCCATATTGTTATTCAAAAATGCACTGATTTTTTACTATTTTTTTGAATTAATCATATATTGAAAATTTCAAAGGGTATCAAATGAAAGGGCTTAGCTTAGCTTACATATTTGTCGGTCCCTTGAGATCCCAAGTCCGTATATTAGGAGCCAGTCACCACCCTTGCAATGCTTCCTTCGGCATATGCTGTGCCACCTTGGAATCGGGGTAATTTATGGAAATAAGATGCAGCTCAGAAGACTTCCGAAGAATGGGGAGACTAATGTCAGACCCATCATCACGATTGCCTCTAAGATCAGCTATTCTTCCCCAGAGTGTTTTCCCTCGTCCGATTATGAATTTGGGCATTGCTCTCTAAATAAATAGTTGGAGGAAAAGCTGCTTTATTGGACCGGACCAACCTACACAACCCCTGCAAGAAACACCACTCAGTCTCCGTACCGTAATTGTGAAGATGGGCCGAAGCACAAAAAGTGTGTTGCCGCCGCATCTTCTTTAAGACAGAAAGGACAAATAAAGTTGTCATGTTTGCTCACCACCATTGCTGAACGAAATATTCACCTAGCTTCTGATGATGGATTCAATGACTAAAGTGGGAATTGCTATTTTAAACCAAATTAAGCAGCACCTGTGCAACTAGCACCGAGAGTGGAACAATTTCGTTATAGGTACATATGTGGTAACATAATTTAGCTGAGACTAGCATTGCCTAGTTTAGAGCTAAGTAGTTAGAGGTCTGGCCAATGGTTTCAACGTATTAGGCCAGTGTCCATCCTATTTTCCACCCATGCGGTTACTGTCCTTAAGGACAGCCAATTCTACGGCAATTATTGCGGAAACAAATTCCATAAAAGAGAA